TAAGACTTTTAGGATTACAAAAGCGTTGTGCCCGCTTAATCCTTGATGCGAATCCATCTGATAATTATAATAATAATAATAATAATAATAATAATAATAATAATAATAATGGTATTTTAATAACACATCATCGCATGAAAATGAATTACAATGTGTTTTACAATTGATTTGAATGGGAATTACAATACTAAAAGTAACTATATTACAATGTATCATTAGATTATTAAATAAGAACTTATAACTAAGAACAATTATTTGTTTAAAACACTAATCATGCTAGGGAAAAAACTATTACCAAATCTATCAGTTCTACATTTAAAAGAAGCGAATTGTTTAAAATTCCTTAAATTATACACATGTTCGTTCTCACTGGTGAGAGTTAGATGGGAAGAAAGACGACTGCCCAATGCAATATTTTTCATCGTCTTTTCGCAAAGTTCACCTCGACGTATATCCAGCCTAGGACACTGCAACATTTCTTGCGCTTCACCGTAGGATCGACCTGGCAGTATAATCCTCAGTGCACGTTTTTGAATTTTCTCGACTTGTTCAGACAGATACATAGGTAGACCACAATGCCATACTGTACAACAATATTCTAATGTAGATCTAATCAATGCATAATAAATTGTGATAAGGTCGTGCGGTGGAATCCCTCCCCGTCGTAGGACACGTAGGATATGCAGTCGTTTGGATGCTTTGGTAACAATCATCGAAATATGTTCGTTCCACTTAAGGTTATCCTGGATAATCAATCCAAGAACCTTGTGCGACGATACACATTCTAAGATCTGGTCTTCAACACACAAGTGTGGTAGTTCAGGTTTGTTCCGAAAGAAACAAATTTGCATCTCTTTGCATTTCTTTGTGTTCAATTTCATCAGGTTATTAGATGCCCATGTAGCTATAGAAGTTAAATCGGACTGGATTACAGACGGTTCCCCATTCCTTAATAATCCCTCAGAGATAGTAACATCATCAACGAATTTCCAATTGCCAGACCTCCCCGAACCGCATTGTAAATCATTGACCATAATTAAGAACAGGATCGGACCCAACTTCGTACCTTGGGGGACACCGGCTGTAACAGGAAGCCAAACAAGAAACAGCTTCCGCAATTCAGTAGCATTATTTAATACATTAAAGTGGATTCCCATAGATGACACTATTCGTGTACATAAATTGAGCATGATGTATAAAATAATCAATAAAATGTGTCCACAGTATTTTGATAACTATGTAAGTTATGTTAAGAGTCGGCATGAATATTGTACTAGAGCATCTTCTAATATAAAATTAGTTGTACCGAAATGCCATACAAGATCTGGATTTCGTTGTTTTCATGCTAGTACTGTTCGTCTCTGGAATGAACTTAATGTGGATAGTATGAATATTACTGGTTAGGTAAATTTAAAAAACACTTAGTTAATAAAACACTTTTAGTAAATGAAAGTTGTGATCATTTTCTGGTCACACAGACATTCTAATTGAAATATGTAGATATTGTAATTTAAACTATATATATTTTCGGACCACAATGTAAAATACTGGTTTACCAGTAATTTGTGTAATCCTGTAATAAAGTTCATAAAGCCGGGACAAGTGAATTTGTAGACAACAGAACTTTGGTGTTGTTTTGTCGTAGGATCTTTAGTACTCAAGAAGGCATTTGCATCAGTGGTATTCCATAGGGTGACGAATTTAGCAGGTTGCTTGAGCAAACTGTTAATTTTCTTAGTGCAGTGGTAAATAAGGGTGCTGCCTCTTTTACCAATGAAAGGTAGATGAATCCAGATGGTGGGTGGATTAGTGAGAGGATCAGTAACAACATCGTCATTGGAAAGGTTATTAGGTAATTTAGGCGTAAATTATTCTAACCATGTATCGGAAACTCATGTAACCACCGTTTCCAAAAATGGTCGCTCAAAATTTGTGATTGTCTCTGTCTGTATCAAAATTTGTGATTTTCGGCAGTACAAATCAGCATCGTCAAATTTTCCAGTAGGAAGTAACAGATGATTCGGAGTTAACGGCTCCATGTCCCGAGGATCGTCCGAGTTTGGGCACAGAGGTCTGGAATTGGCAAACCCTTGGGCTTCTGATAACACCGTTCTCAAGACGTCTTCTTTAACTAATGTCTTTCCTAATATAGCCTTCAACAATTGTTTAACACCACGAATCAGTCTCTCCCACACTCCCGACATATGCGACGCTAATGGCGGGTGGAAAATCTATTGTACTCCGGTTTGTCTTAAATGCTCTTCAATCTGATTTTGATTCCACCTTTCTAAAGTTTCACGTAACTCGCCCTCTGCGCCCAGGAAATTTGTACCGTTATCTGAACGCAGTTGTTTAACGCCACCACGAATGTTTAAGAATCTTCGTAACACCATGATGAAATCATCGGTTTCCAGGGACTGGGCTAGTTTTAGATGTATGGCTCTGGAGGCCATACATTCAAATATATATCCATAACGCTTGGCAGAACCCCATTTGTGTTTTACCATAAGTGGTCCGAAAAAGTCAATGCCTGTGTTTGTAAAGGGAGGTTCGTAAAGAGTAAGGCGAACCTTAGGTAACTCTGCCATTTCTTGGGTCATCCGTACAGAGTATCTTTTCCTACACGGTATGCATTTGCTGATCACTCGTTTAATAGTCGCTCTGCCCTTAACGATCCAAAATTATTCTCGAAATCGAGATAACAACTGCTCTTGTCCACAGTGTCCAAGTTGTTGGCGAGTAAAACGAATTATCAAGGTTGTAACATGGTGATTCTGCGGTAAAATCATCTGACGTTTACTGTTAAACGTTCTTGGTGCTTCCGATATTCTACCAGAAACCCTTAGGAGTCCGTTCTCGTCTAGCTTTGGCTTAAGCTTCACAATCGAACTCGATTCTTCACACGTTGACCGGTTTTATCCTTTCTTTTAAGATCTTGCAATTCTTCCGGAAACGACTGGTGTTGAACAAGTGACACAATCGTTCGTTTAGCTTAAGTCAGGTCATCGACGGTTAAAGTATTGCATTCTAAACGTTTGCCATTTTTCAACCAAGCTTTGTACTCGCATAGCCAAACCACATATTTAAGTAGTTTCGACCAGTCCGAGTATCTTTCGAGGAGTTCATAGAGCAGAGGGCTTACAGTCGTCTGGAGACGAGTCGCACAAGTCGTTTTCTTCTTTTTGATTTCCATTTCGCTGTCGGGTATCTCTTGAATTGGCTCATCGGGCCATGTATCTCCCGGGTTCGAAAGGAACCCTGGACCTCTTAGCCATCGCTCTTGTTCTATGTATTGCTGAGGGTTAAAACCGCGTGAACAATCGTCCGCAGGATTCAAACTTCTTGGACAGTGCCGCCATTGACTCGGATCAATTGATTCCCGAATTTCGTTTACTCGGTTAGCCACGTACGTTTGAAATCGTTTCGTCGTGTTTGCGAATTTACGACAATACTATCATACTGTCCGTCCAAAAGCACGTTTCATGTACAGTTATATCGAACTCATCTTTAATCATCTTATTCATTCGCACAACTAATAATGTACTTTGCAATTCGAGTCTTGGAATCGTGGGTGACCGAATGGGAGCATTTCTCGACTTTCCCATGACAAACGAACAGTTAACGTTGCTGTAGATGATGCGTAGGTACGACACGGTACCGTATTCAATCTCTGAGGCGTCACAAAAATGGTGTAACTCGACAACAGCATAGTCATGATCTGGAAGTCGGTAGAAACAACGAGCGATGCTTATCTGAGTCATCAATGGTAAAAGTGATTTCCAGTTAATCCATGATTTCAGTAGATTGTTCTCCAGGAAATCGTCCCATTTCATCTTCCTCCTCGAACCCACTTGGAGAATTTGCTTAGCAGGTAAATGAACTGGTGCAGCAAATCCCATTGGATCATAAAAGGAGGAAACACATGAAAGCACACCTCGAATGATATTTGGTTTATCACAAGGTTTTATCTTGAAACAAAAGGCATCATCTTCGGCGTTCCAGTGGACACCCAGCGTGCGTTCAATAGGAAGTTGGTCAAGACTTAGATCGGGGTCTGACAAGGCTCTCCTTTCAACGGGCACTGCTTCAAGAACTCTCCGACTGTTGGGCATAAATTTGGTCAATTTAAAGCCTCCACGTGAAAGCAAAGACATTGAACTCTTAGCTACTTCAATAGTAATTTCTTCATTCTTTAGGGCTCTCAACATATTATCGACGTAAAAATGTCTTAAAACAGTGTCAACGACAAGGTTATCAAATTCGATTTTATTATCTCCGGCAGTCCTTTTAAGTCCTCGTGTACGTGTATGGTCATACGTTAGGTGGCTTGTCGAGACTTCCGCTCCACCAGAGAAACCGAAATGCATCCTGGTCTTCTGGAGATACCTTCACCTGATTGAACATACCTTCAATGTCCGCCACTAGCGCAATCTTATCCTGGCGAAACCTGATAAAAACACCAACGAGACTGTTCGTATAGTCCGGGTCTTGCAATAAATTCTGATTTAGGGACGTATCTTCAAACTTTGCCGCTGCATCAAAAACGACTCTGACCTTTTCAGGCTTGTTCTTATTGATAATGTGGTGGTGAGGTAGGTAATTGATCTTGCCAGTTTTGGTTTCAGCCTCCTCATTTATTAGCCTTCTAGCAAACCCCTTTTCGATGTATTCTGCTATGGTCGTTCGATACTTGGTTTCTAATTCTGGGTCGTCGTTAAATTTCTTCTTTAATTTAAAGATTTCAGCCATTTCTCTGCCCCATTCTTTTATTGGGCAATTGAGCACAATCGTCCTTCCACAATAATTCAGTTTCATAATGTCCGTCTACAAGTTTTGTGCTTCTTTGGAGAATATCCAAATGCTCATTTGGGGGAATTCTTTTATTCATATCAAGCTCCTTCACTAGTCCTTCGCTCACTTCCAATATTGGGTCAGAATCTGCGGCTTCTGCAGCCTGAAGCAAAAGGAACACTGATTCAAATTCGCATTCCTGTGTTCCAAGCACTGTTGTAACGGCCATTGACTGTTTAGTTCCTTTCACGTTCAGTTTCTCTGCCAATTCCGCATCAACAATAGTTCCACGGCTTGCATTGTTAAGTAGTCCATATGTCGTGACCGAGTTTCCATCCTTCGTTAACATTTTAACAGGTACAACGTGTAAAAGTATGTGATTTTCCTTTCCTTGCGTCATTGTCGTATAAGATGCCATTGAATCTTGTTGACTATCCTTTCCAAATTTGGATTTGGGTTTTTCAGATTCAGCTGCCCATGACATGCGATTTCGCCTTGACGCAGTCATTAAGGTGGACATCGTTTACCTGTCCGACAAGACCGTTTCCGCTGAGGTGAAGCTTTACGAAGAGAAGGTTTTGGAAGAGGAGCCAAGGGTAAGTAGTAATATATAGGCCGTTCGGGCCGGACTTTTGAGGTGGTGGATGACGTGGTGTGAGGTGGTGGAGTGTGAGGTGGTGGAGTTTCAAGTGGTGGATGTCCACCACCTCATTGATAATTAATATTCATACAAATGAGGGTGAGGTAATTAATATTCATACAATGAGGAGGAGTGAGGAAAGGTGTGGTGGAGTAATGACATCACGCGGGCAAGTTTGGACGAGGTCGTGTAAATCTTGCTGACTAAGCATTTTTAACGTCTCTCCACGCGTGTGATACAATAGAGGGATTAATTTTGGCTTGCTATGATTGGTTGTTTGATTTAACGAGCGTCTGTATAAAATCGACAAGCGTCTTGTTATAAGCATATTTCTGCATTTGACAACGCTTTGTTGAAGTTCTTGTGGTGAAATATTTCGTGACGAAAATTACTTGGAAGAGAATGGCACAATAGCATCGAGAGAATATTTGGAAAGTTTAATTTAAACTGAAAATTAATATAATATCGAGAGTTTTTTTATGTAATCGATTTCTATATTTTGTAGGAGAGATCAATTGATGGCAGAGTTGGAAAATGATGAGGTCAATCGCCAGCTTTGTGCAGTGGACGTATTTTCTTGGTCACCACGAAACTCAGGAACAAGTTCTCGCTGAATGGGACGACTGACAAGAGCCAACCGCGGAAAAGGTGGGCAATTGTTGTGTTGAATTTGTTAAAGTGTTTGCACGTCCGATTGTCTCAAGCGTCATATGAAACGAGTATATACTAGCGAGAAGTCATTTCCTTGTGAACGATGTATTAAAGTATTTACATTATTTCTACTGAACGCAATGTACTCCTTTGTCACCGCCAATAACTTTATAGAACATAACATACAAAAAGGCTTCACCCCAAATCTATCTGGTACTATGGAACATACTGCGTAAATGGCTAATATAATCAACAAGCTCGGATAAAACAACGTTCACTTGTCATCACACTACTTTACCGCAAAAACGCGTTTGGAGAAGTTCATCACAACTTAATCCAATCTGTCCTTAGCTATCATCACATCTCTAATCACATGAATAATTTAATAAAAAGCTTATACACTGATTTTAAAACTTCCGTAATTACCTCTGAGTTCCGTACCCATTTTATACCTGTTGGCCGTGGTGTTTTACAAGGTGACTGTCTTAGTCCTCTACTATTTAATATGTGTTTCAACACATATATTCAACATATCAAAGTGGTTTCTCCCTCCAACTCGTTAATCTAATCCACTGGTTTGGTTTGAGCTTGCCGATGATGCTGCGGTTATTGCTTGTCAATAGTAGGAAAATCAACATCTCCTTAATCGATTCTCTATCTGGTGCCAATGGTCCAACATGGTTGTAAGACTTGATAAATGTAGCACATTTGGCATCAAAAAAGTTTTATCAAAATCAGCCCAGTACCTGCCTAAGCTTCGGAACAATAAAGATCTCATACCAAGGATTAAAACTCGTGAATCATTTGAGTATTTGGGACGACACTTCGAATTTACTGACATGACTAATTAAAAACACAAATCTAAACTGATCTCCACCATTGATGAACTAATGTCCGAAATAGGTCTCAAGATATAGGTCCCAAAAAACAAAATTTTACTTTGCAGTCGTTACGTTTTGTCAAAACTATCCCGGAATTTTACTGCTGCTACGATATCTAAAACTTGGGTAATCGAAAATGTCGATTCTCTGGTGAACAAGTACATCCGACAATGGCTAGAAGTACCTATATCTGGAAAACTAAGTAACGTTTTTCTAACCCGTAATAAGTTTTATCTAAATATCCTCACTGCATCAGTCAAATTTATTCAGTGTCAAACAGTTCTACGTAATGCCCTAAAAACATCTCCAAACGATTCAATAAACGAACTGTGGGAATCAACTAATAATCGCACTAATATTCAATACGATAGCTACAACTCAACTAAAGAAGTTTTAAAAACTGTCCACTATCAACAACAAAATAAACTTAGGAACCGTCTGAAATGTCAAGGATTCAATTCAACACGTTGTTGGCGGTTGTCAACATTACTTGAAACGACTTACTTGGAGACACGATTACACACTAAAGCTTCTTGCAAAAACTTTTTAAACAAATGCAAATTACTTGTTGATCTTCCTGGATTTGAAAGCCCCTCGATTATCACGGGAGATGAATATCGTCCTGATTTACTTGTCTTTACAAGTTCAGATACACACCTCTACGTTGTTGAACTTACCGTAGGCTTTGAATCAAACCTCACAAACAATTTTAACCGCAAGAAAGCTAAATATGAGAACCTAATTAGATAACTGGATCAAAACTTTATATCTGTTGAATTTATAAATCTTTCTGTAAGTTCGCAAGGGGTGTTTGACAAGGAATGTCATACATTCGTAAAAATGCTAAATGACTTAGGAATGGATGCGAGAACGCGGTTTTGAACGAAAGTGGGGAACGCGTTTCCAAGTTTCCCACGGCGTCTCGACCGCGTTCCGAACGCGAACGCAGTGTTAGGTTACTTCTGAGCAGTATAATGTACGTCCTTAGTCTTACATATTTCCTGGAGTGGGCATGTGCTCCGACAGTTGCAACTGTCTGCGCCTTGGCTCTGTGGCAGATTTTTCCTAATTATGCTTGCATTCTGTCGGGTAATAATGGACGTCATTGTTCATGCAACTATAACTGACCTTAAATGTGTTTCTGTTAAAAAAATTGTGAAGTTTGTGGTGGGGCGGAAAATGTTTGCCAATCATGCTCGGTGGGGCTTCGGCAGCCCAGTTGTCAGAGGAGTTGCCTTTTACCTTTGAGATTGTGGGTTTGACATTCGCTACGGATGGGTTAGGGCAGGGTGGGTAGGACAAACACAGTTGGGAAAGTAATATCTCAATTGTTGTAAAGATAAAGACAATATAATTGCAAAAAATCAGTCAGGTTTCCGTCGCAATCACTCAAACGAAACCTCGTTGCAACAATCTACTGAAATGTGGTTGAAATCAATGGACCAGGGTCAAATTAATGTAGTTATATTGTTACGCCAGTATTCTAAAAGCTAACTCACACTCACACTCAATGAGTGGAGGTTCAATCTGAGCTTTTCTTAAGTCTCAAAGCTGTTTTCGACTAGCTGCAGGGTTTGTGTCGTACCTTACTGTGTGACTACTCACCCTTTAGCTATTCAAAAACAGCATTGACACTCAAGAGAAGCTCAGATTGAACCTCCACTCTATGAGTGTCAGTGTGAGTGAGCTTTTAGAATTCGGGCGTTAGACTTGAAAAAATCATTGGATATGATTGATAATCAGATTCTATTGTCAAAACTACAAACTTGTGCGATGCACGATCATACGCTCAAATGGTTCCAATCATATTTGGATCAAAGAAGACAAATTTGCATATTAAATAACTGTAAATCTGATATTGGAACAATTCGCTGTGGAGTACCTCAGGGTTCAAATATAGGATCTTTATCCTTTCTCATTTATATTAACGACCTCCCAAACTGCACAGAAACAACACACTCTAATTTATTTGCCGATGACACAATTTTGTGCACTTATCCATAGATATTGAATACAAACTTAACAAAGACCTAGTAAATGCTGGAAAATGGTTATAAGCGAATAAACTAGCTAACATTAAACAACGAAAAATTAAATATACGATTATTGGATATCGGCAACGATTGCAAAACTTAATTAGATCACGTGCCGAAAATTATTATAAACGGACGTCAAATTGAACGAGTTTATGAATAAGAAGTGGTGGGTAGTTATAGACGATAAACTTAGCTGGAACAGGCAAAACGAAGAACAATGCAACAATATATAAAAAAATATTGACCTTTTAAGAAAAGCCAAATATTTTGTTGGCCTAGATACGTTACAAGTTATCTATAACGCATTAGTTATGCCTCATTTTAACTACTGTTCAACTGTTTGGCAAAATAATAACCAATCACATTTAGACAAATTGTATAAGCTTCAGAAACGAGCAGCAAGAAAATTAACAAATTCGGACTATACAATAAGATTCTCGGAAACTTTTCAAAAACTTAGCTAGAAACCTCTTGACTTAACTTTGAAAAAGCGAGACTTTTTATGACTTTTAAAGTGATTAATGGCATGCATCCTGAATACATAACACAACTATTTCACACCTGTGAAAACAGTGGTTACATACATCGCAGTAGTAATAGACAATTCCCATTACGGACTAATGTTAAAAGTGAGCAAGAGATGCAAATAAATCACCACAGCTAGAAAGAGCGTACTAAAATTAGGTAAATTACAAAGCTTGGTTGCAAAATGTTGTAAAATGAGGAAAATATAGCTTTGCAAAGTTCGCATTTTGTATAATTTTGTATTGCTTGCGAAATTCCTACCAAATTCCTCCCACATTTTATTTGGGCCAAATTGGTAGCAATTTCCGCACGCAATACAAAAGTATACACAATTTGCAAAAATTTCAAGGCTATATTTTTCGCATTTTACAATATCTCGCAACCAAACTTTGCAAATATATTAATTTTAGTATGTTCTTTCTAGCTGCTGTGATTTACTTGCATCTCCTTGCCTAGTTTTAAAATTAGTCTACAATAGGAATTGTCCATTTAAAGCTGTCTCAATCTAAACCAAAAACGAATTTCTTCAAAAATAGCTTTTCGTACAGAGGAGCAGCGTACTGGAACAACATCCCAATGAACTTGTTGAAAACCTTAAAAGAGTCAACAAGCATAATAAAAACAGACCATTATCTATTAAATGATCACATGCATCTTGTAAATAAGTAAATAAGTAAAATTACCTATGTGAAAGGTTACCGTGTTTAAAGATCATTAATAAAAAAATAAAATAAAAAATTCTGTATGCTAAGTAAGTAACATGGGAGTAATACTTGATGTAATCGGCATGGCGAGAAATGAGGACAGTTAGCGCAACACATCTCGGGCGTCGAATTTAGTGAAATTGTGGGCACAGAACTGACTGCGCTGAATTAAGAATGATAAAATTGACGGATTCACATGAGTGAATTTATTTTGCAGTTTATGCCTTTTATCAAGTATTTTATGAATATAGAATTTGTCTTTTTATCAGTTGTTGAATAATTTGAGTACGACAGACTTTTATGCACAAGGGACATATCATAAAAGGACTATTCGCCCTATTATTTTCGGTTACCACGCTATTTTAAGCCATCGTGTATCTCTTTTTATCGACTAGCGGCTCTTAGCATTAAATTAAATGTTTACAAAATAGCGTGAAAGAACATGGTTGTACGATCGAAATTATGGAGAATTTCGCAGCTGTTCTTCGGTTGTGAGAATTCAAGTTTGAAGTTTGTTAAAAAAACAGATAATTTTAAAACCAAATGGTCGCACTAATACAAGCTAAGGGACTTCCAAAGCAACAAAGAATGACATTATGAACATCGAGTAGGAAATGCAGTTGTGGGCATTTCGTTTGAGAGGGGATTTCACCGTATTTCCACATTACCAGAAAGTATGGAGTTACTTGGATCGGCTGGGAGCAAATCGAGAGACGTCAGGAGTTTGCAAGACAACATTATTCAGGCATTTTCTAGATTTAAAAACGTGGGCAACTTTTTTGTATTCTCATCGATTTTCCCCTAGTTCCGGGCGTTAGGCCGTGGCGAGGGTACTAATTCCCCCCGGCTATTTACACCCGGGGAAAGGAAAGCATTAGAGAAGCCTAAAGTTCATCAATGATCGCGGACGTTGGTCAATAACCGTGCGTGGTCATCTTCACTGGTCTCAAAAACATGGCTGCTTGGCAGGAGTGGGATAACAAGATTTCAATTTTCAAAAGCATGCATATATTTCGAAAATCACGTTTCACACAATGAGCTTTGAAGATTTTTTTTGAAGAAAAGCGAAGAATTTACTTACTGTAGAAAATCGTGCAATATAGGGCAAGTTTACGTTGGATGTTAATGTTTATGAATTTTGTTGCTTTAATGTTTATGAATTGCGTAAAGCATGTACTGTTTTCCTTTTCAATGAAGCTGTATTAAACTTTGCTAAATTACCGTGTTTATTTTAAGAAAAAAGCGCAAAATGTAAAGGCAAATGGACAACTCGCATAATAGATTTCGGGCCGCTAAGCATGACGGTAGGAGACTGTAGGCCGCTTCCTAATGAAATGGCCGTGGGAGCGAACGATTTTGTTTGGAGGAATATATGGCGGATTTTAAACTATTTATTGCATAGGTCGATACGTTTTTTGTTATGAAACATAACAAGGGCGCTTTTCGCTATATTCTGGGGAAATTTGTGGAATTTCTGTCCATTAGCGGCCGAGAGAATGCGTTGAGAGTGGCACGTCTTGTAAACATGCCTTGCAGAAATTTGCTCGCGAAAATCTAACCTTCCCAACTAAAGCAGGTGAGTTGGTGTTTCAATATGCGATCGGCTAAATATTATTTCAAAATAAGATGCTCTGATAGTTATCTGTATTCGATCTCAAAGTTGTTTTACATGTTCGCGTGTCGAAATGGCATTTTAAGCTTCGCGAAATTTACAACTTTTGTCACGATTGTGTTCGAATTTGCCATTAGACGTGCCCTCACTTCACCTAATGTTTTACCTTTGTTTTGGCGCGAAAATACCCTGAATTTAAATAAGCAGCCTTCAATTGTAGCAAAAAAATTTAAAGATAAAAGATTTTTCTGGGTTTGCTGCTATTGTTTGTCCTTTAGCTGAAGTGCAATTTGGTTCGTGTCCTCCATTGTTAAATTTTTTAAATTACTCGTGATTTCTAGAATAATTTTAGATAAATAAATTTAGGTATGTTCAAATATTAAACTTTTTAGGCCTTCTTAATTAAAGTCGTTTTAGATTTTGTATATAAATTTGTGGATAGGATATAAAAATATTTAGTTAAATTATAAATAGTAAAAGTTAAGTTAAAGGAAATGAAGTTAAAGCAAATGTCATCAAGGATACCATCTCGTGTTTCTTGATTAAAGCTGGACTAGCTAGTGGTGTAAATGATGCCATGAAAAACATAACATATACAGCATATGTTCATTTGAATGAAGTTAATCGCGAGGTTGTATATAGCAACTGCACATGTAAACCTGGCAAAGGTGGACAATGTAAACATATTGTTGCATTGCTGTTTCAAGTAATTGAATATAAACAATTGGACATGACTGAAATCCCCGATCACCTTACTTGCACACAGTTATTACAGCAATGGCATGTACCGTAAAAGAATGAGTCAGATGAGACAGTTCTGTATGAAAGCATTGTTTTTAAAAAGGCTGTTTACGAAAAAGATATTAAAAATGG